TATATATATATATATATATATATATATAAACATTGATGCAGCGGATGTATCTAGGTTCTTCCGACTTATCACTCATTTGACTTGACAATCAACGTCTTGAAGGTCAAGGTCAACTCGATTCCGATAATTAGACCTTCTGATGGATGCTATCTCGTGTGGGTGCAAGAGCACGCTGAAAATGTACAGATGTACACCGCGGAGAGCACATTCAATTTTGGTTGTTGATCATTCTTTCACATTTTATTCAGCATTACTAAATCTAGCCAAGTATTGTGAATGAAGGACCTAGCACTGATCTCATACCGGCAAGAGTGCGGTGTACTACACGGTCCAATAGGTTGGTAATAAATAATTGAACATTTTATTTCGCAAAGAGTGTCTACTACGCTGTCATAAATAAAACTATCCAAATGGCCAATGGTTTCAATAAGTTATCAGCAGACCTCTACAGATTGTACACGGAGCAAAAAAGGTACGATACATATAAATTCATAACATCAAGTGGATGTGATGATATACGAGCCATTTCAAAAGGTCACGGAAGTTCGCTCACATCTGCTGTATGCAGTCCGTAAGGTGAGCACTGGTGTCAGAGATAAGAGCAAGCGACAAGCCAACAAGGTACGATCGAACAGTCTAACTGAGATGGCCTCCTTTGTGGCTACTGTGGAAAAGCATTCAAGCTTGTATCAGATAATCGGGACATTGTTACTGCTTCCTGCTGGTGGCTGTACGGTCAAAGCTGTAAAGTGAAATGCAATAGCATTTGCGAGAGCTCCAATTCTTCCTATTACCACTCATCCTATAGAACCATTCTATAGATACATCTGATCCTGGTGTCCACGAATAACCTACAGGACATTCTGAATGGTCTTCAAAGGTATAAAAGCATCTACGTCAACTGTAGGTGCAGAAACTTATGCTATGCATTATTATACCTAGGACGTTTGGGTTTTGCACTTTCTAGTATGTACCTGAAGAGATGCAGGTATATGAACATTTGCAGGCCACCAAGAACCCCACAGATTCGGTATACTCATTTAGACTGGCACCGATTGATGGGGATATCAAAGCCCCCCAAAAAACGCTGTATTTTTGTGTGTGCTAGCGAACTCCCGGCATCTTCAAGGTCAAACTACGAATAAATCAATGGCCTATTGATATTCCAAGAAATTCAAATCCGACCACTTACTTACACGACACCAGGTTTTTACCGACTTGGTTTCGGAAGCTCGTGGCATCGCTTGTTGATCGCGTTCTTTTGGATCAGAATCTGGATCAAGCAACATAGCTGGGGATAGAGTATTGCCACAATCCGCACATCATATTGTTTGCTCGCTGCGTGACCGAACCGTAACATATTTGGCGACGGGTATGGGATGTAGAACAACTCAAAGTAATGTTTGAACAACAACTGCAACTCACCAAAGTACTCACGGAGCGGCTATCAACTACATCTTTGGTTTCACCGGCTGCGTCGAGCGTCCCACAGTCGGTTGATGGAATCGCTAGCAGTATCAATGAATTTTGCTATGAACCCTCAGCTGGCATAACGTTTGATGCTTGCATCGTATTGTTTGCTCACTGCGTGACCGAACCGTAACACCGACAACTGGAAACTTCGAAGCATTTAATGCTCCAGTTCATTCACACTATTCAACTCAAAGTGATTCCCAGGCTCATCGAGTGTTGGTGACCTACAGTCGTTGACTCAATAACCAAAGTGGTCCAGATAAAAGGTGAAAAACTACAATCGCATTGTTGATTGTGCGGGAAATTGTCACAACAGAGTATCACTTACCCGACTACCGTTTTAAATGACACAGTTTTAGTCATTCTCTGAGCGACTCTTTAAGGGAGCGAACAAATTAAAAGGTCTCATGTTCTTGGCACACCTTATGATGCTTTATTGATTCGGCCAAGGGAAGAGTGCATATCGGTGATGTTGTGACATGGAACACTTTGTTACCGCAAAGCTGGATGAAGTCCAGCGTACCTAAATTTCACAACCTGATGGTACCTTAAAGTACTTCGTTTTGAAATTTTACGACAATGAAACCGGTGGGCATAGCCGAAGAAAAGTTGAGAAACCTGAGTAGAACAGCACGCAAAAATATGTTGTGGTCGAATATGCGGATACCATAAACACTGGAGGAGGTATCCAAACAAAAATTCTAAAAAAGGATAAAAAAACCACACGATGTCCATTTTGTCAATGAAAAAAGAAAATCGGTTTACTGAAGTCGCTTGAGCAGTGATTACATTGCCCGTTTATTGGCGAGTTGAACTGCATGTGAATCAGTCATCCTGTGTTGCATCCGGTCCTTCCGTGGCAAAGTAAAATCAATATAGATTTTTTGAGTGTATCAGTCCAGAACAATATGGATAATGCCCTCAAATGTGCCGTTACCATAAAGCGAGTCAGCTTACCTACTTTACTAAATGTATATTTTGAATGGTAATTGTGTTTGAGGTTGGTCTCTCAGTCAGTTGCACATTAAACACAGATGAGAAGGTCGACCTAGCAGCATTGTTTTTTGATGATAAGATCACACTTCAACATTCTATCCACCATCGTGCTCATTTTATTTCGGTGGCGTCTGGGTTATCATCAACATCATTAAAACCGTTTGCGATAAGCACTAAACATTACAGAACTACTGCATCTATGACTGTTACGACGTACCAAGTGCTCCTCCGCTTCATACTCAATTAGTTGCACGTGATCATCAGCCCAGCTTTTTACATGCTCTTCATACTCCACCCTTGTGGACTCGTTCAGAATGACATGTACAACCAACGGATCCGGCGTCACCCGATTAATCTTCGGGCATTGCGTTACGGACGTTTTAGGAAGCAAGCAGTTGTACGTACCACCATTATGAGTTCCACGAAAATACAGTAAACTCTTCAACATTGAATGAGAGTTGTAGATTGCTTTCACACCGTGGAGAGTTACAGCAATATGAATCTCCTCGTGTTCGGTAGGCTGTAGCTAGAGCGAGAGAAGGAAATCTTCAACTGTAAACACTTGCCTACTTGATTCCTCTAGTAGCATCACGCCTGCCACAAAGCAGCACCTAGATACATTTCAAGAAGGTCGTATGCGATGCGCTTTACATGTGTAAGTAGATTTCTTTTTAATACTTTGCTTCCAGTCATTTGCAGGACTGATTGACCACAATAAAGATGGGGTGCTGTCTTCAGGAGAGACTGTTTAACATCAATGCCCTGGAATCATATAGCAAGTAAAGAAATATGAGGTGGAAGCGGATCAGCAAAATCTTAAAACGTCCACTGGTGTTCAGAATATCTATACTGTTGCAATTAGGATAACTCGAGGAAACTTCCGCACTGCTGTTTCAGTCTCTTAAACTTTTTTCGGTTCACCTTGGATTCAGACGTTGAATGGGATGCCTAACCAGGGATGGCGGTGACGATTTTTGTCGTTGCCTCTTGTAGTGCCCAAATGAATTATCCAACTCAACAAGTTTCTTTGCAGGATTTTATCAAAGTGTAATTTGAACTTCACAGTTGGTCAGGAGAAATAAATGGTGATATTGTTTAACCAAACCACGCTGCCACTTCCCAGCATGCGCGACAATGAAAATGGGCAGGATTAATTAGAAGGCAGTTGCAATCTTTTGTTTCCGTTCTTCATAACTCGTAACCGGAAGAATGTGCCCTTTGATTTTTGACAGGAGAATGGCCTACGGATGACTAGTGTGGCTTATTTCAGTTTCAGTGAGACATACTTGATAGATGAAGCTTGTAAGACTCCCACAGAATATAGTTTCATGGGTTAAGCCGCGGACATACTGACCCGAAGGTCGATAGTTAGAATGCAACCTCGGCATCTCGACTGCTCCTGACTAGACTTGGGCTACCTGGCGGTGGCTCAGCCCTAATGCTTTCTCCGAGTGGTATGACAACCATATATCGCAGGGTATTACTACTAGTAAAACCGGAAAGAAACTGATTAAACCGTATCTGACTGGCTACATCTATTTCAAGTTTTTTCGGTGAGACAAACTGGTGAAATTATTTTTTCTCCACAGTAAAATAGTGTCATTGCTGAAAGAATCTAATTTTTAGCTGACCAAATCGATAGCACGTAATATTCCCCAAAGTTACAGTTTTTACTCTGAGCAAATCCAAATGGGACTGTTATGTTGCTCAAAGGCTTCACTAAAAGGACCTAAGAAGACAAAAGAATTTCACAAATAAAAAACACAGCATCTCTTGGAACGTTTATAGACGGTGGTTTTGCTGGATCTACCTTTCTGCATGCTATCGAAAACTTAGTCTACCTAATTGATACTGTTACCTTATTCCATGCCGTTTTGTACTCGGTATACCTGCGGAAAGGCGATCGTTTACGTAATCCACGTTATTTCGATGTTCTGAGACTACTCGGCTGACACAAATGGGAACTGGATTGGCCCTATGTTGGTCTTCAAACACCTCGTTCAACGCAAGTATTCACAAAAAACGTTCCAGAAGCTTGGCTTGTTTCTGTTTAGCTGTGAAATCAGGCTGGCGGGCATTTTAGGCACTCAAAAATGCTTTGAGAATTCCTGTAAAGGGGACTTATTCATAGTACGTCTTGAGGATCGAACAGCGAAGTAGAAGGTTCAACAAAAAGGTTTTCACACTGTTCAACCTACCAAACTCATTCTCCATTCTTCTCCATCGTCAAAATAACTAGAACAGTCTGTTTTCGAAAAATTTTGGTGACAATCGGTATTCTTAGACCATATAAATAATGGTACTGCCTCCCTGAAGTGACGTAAAAACTGGTACTATACACCAGTAGCGGTTTTCGCGGTCCAATTAAGGTCAACATCAGATCACTATAACAGTGACACTAGTTACGAGGTACGCATGTACGCATATACCCCGTCCACTCTCAACTTGGAAACAGAAGAAGTAAAGTATCAACATGCTATGGTTGTCTAACATATCTAGATCGCATCAAGTGCTCTATGACGTAACTAGCTGAATTCCTCCTTCCACAGAAGCAAGAATGAGAGACTCGATCTGGAGCCATCGATCAATCTGCCGATCAGGGTGGTTAATGAAGTGGTTAACTTCCGAAATCAAGTGTAGCAGCGGCAATAAAAGATTCAAGTGGAACCTTGATGAGCACATACAGAACTCAGACTGATACAAATGTGACTATAGAAGAACAGTCTGCTTATGAGTAAATATTTTGCTGGTCGATTATAGAAGGTCGAATCTTGCATGGTGTTGCTAATCTGTTCTCCAATGGTTAACTAAAGATCAGAGCTCAAGAAACCCTTTGTGAACCTCTGCTCATTTATGCTGTTGGGCCGGTCTTGCAAGATGTAAGTCCGTATTCTCAAACCTTAGCCTTTTATGAGAAAAATCCCAGTCCTGAAGGTTTCTCAGCACTATTCAAGACCAAGAAGTCACATTTCCCCCGTCTGATAAACCGGAGAGTGTTCCTCACTTAGATGAACTGAATTAACTAAAATTAATTATCTTGGATTCTGCTATGTAGCACACCATCACTGTCGCCACCAGGATTTTGAGGTATATCAATAAATGAATGACAACAATCACTTACAGCTGTGGTCAGATCCTCTATCCTCTCTCCCATTCGGGTTCGATGAAGTATAAACATGAGTGATATTGTTATCACACACGGTAAAATGCGCCGACGTCTTGTAAAGAAAACTGAAATGGATATTCCCCTTTCCAAAATATGGCTTTCCGAGATTCGCTAAGTGAATCATGCAGGTGCACCTTTGTTAAGCATGCTTCCATTCAAAACAAAAAATCAATGAATTCAAGGATATAGGAAAGGGGAAGGGTTTCAACTGCAAGTCTACCCAGGTGGTACATGTGGTGCGGTCATTGATAGAACCTCAAAGTAGACCGTAAGACTTGACCATAATGACAACCGTAATTCTAGTCCTGCGTGTCCAACCCTTCCGGATTAGCACTCTGTCTGGCCATATTAACGGCTCGTTGAACGAGTCATTTAGTTGTGAACAAATTGGACCAGTAGGTTAGTCGTACGGATTTCGAATAAGTTTCTTATTCCGATTTTATTCGACCGAATTTACCGCGTAAGCACACCCTAGGGTATCCGCATAATTTATGTGTATATTAGTCTCGTGGCGTAGAATGCGTTCACCTGTAACACTCTCCTAGTGGCTAGTCCCCATGCCACTGGGAGGAAGTACGGGGGTCGAATTACTGCCAGGTTCAACAGACAGGACAAGAGCAGTTGAACCTTTCACTTAGTAAGTTCNGGGGGTCGAATTACTGCCAGGTTCAACAGCCAGGACAAGAGCGGTTGAACCTTTCAATTAGTAAGTTCGCGCCTTCACCACTGAGCTATCTCGAGCCTGATCCAAAGAGCATCATATATGAGATAGTTCTTTCTAATTCTCAATCAGCACAAAATGAAAATGCAAACAAGCGGTTTATTCTACATACGTACAATTTGGCAGGATAATAGAATAAATGAAACTTGAGGCTAACGCCTAAATAGCGAGCTCAAAATGGGAGAATCCCACAGAAGTTCTTCCAAACTCCTAAGTAATTATTAATGAAAACGATGCCGGATTGATTTTGATAAACAAACCAGACCTGTTCCTGGTAATGCCCATTCAAGGCAGTTGGACTCATATTCATCTTGGATTACTCTGCTCACCAAGACAGCTATCGGTCGCCACGGTCTATAGTGAAATGATCCAAAACTTTGGTGTACAATGAATGAGATGACAATGACAAAGACAAAAACTCGTCTCACACCAGACAACCCCATTTCGCAAAGTGGAGATGCCTTGCACAATGTTGGGAACAACAAGAAGTATTCAACGGTCTGTGATTTCAAGAGCTGGGAACATCTGCGCGTTTACTGACTGCTTCAGTTGGCAACACACAGGTTCTCGATGTGACGCGGAAAGAAAAAGAAACAGTGCAAACTAAGGAGGTTCGTACAGTGAACAGCACTGCTGATACAATGGCAGTGGTATTGAGTTAGGACCTCAGATGTAATGTGTCTCCTGCTTGCAGTGAACGGCTCTAGGGGCTTTCGGATAAGGCGATGCCGATTTCGGCGCTTAATGTGACGAGTGTAACGAAGTAGTAACAAGCCAGGAGAAATGGATTAATATGGTGTGCTCAGATGCAGCGCAGCAACTTTATATTTTCACATAAGCTCAACTTACAGCCTTATGCTCTGAAACCTTTCAGGGAGCTTATTATGTGTTGATCTACTGCAGTGGAACTTCCCAAATGCAACTACTGTTGAATAATGAGTATATTCATAGGAAATCAAAATCGACTGCAACTCAATTAATAAAAGTTTGATGTTTACTTTGACCTGTAAATGCTAGTTCCAAACTCATAACATTAAATCTGTTACAAACGACGAGGAAATCTTAATTTTTCTTGACAAGTGTGCTGTCTACGAGAGTATCTAACTGCAAAACATACCGTTACTTCCTCAATCATTCATATCATGGCGAAAATTCACGTACACGTATGGACTTTATCTAATCTACCTTGTTTGAAGACACCACCAAACATGAGAATGATATCATCAATGTCCGGTATTCCTCACGACCATCACACAACCTCATGTCCAACCGAAATCGAACTGCTCTGCGTAATTCGCTTCTCTAGGCGGACAGGAGTTGTGCGGGCTATTACCACCAAACTTAGGTAAACTCTCCTCATAAATGCACTGCCTACTAACAAAAGAGACTAACACATGTGGTGCGAGTGTTTTGGTTTGGACGAGATGCGACGATGACTGCTAAGAAATTAAAAACCAGGAAGTGTTTTTGCACCAACGATTTGGCTATCGGCACTGGATGGCGATTGGCACAAAAGAAGTTCCCGGTAAATAATGTTAGGCAGGAATCCACGCGGATCCCACTATACCGCATGTCTTTAGGCGCTGCTACGGCCGAGAAGCCTGGCCCGCTCGAGGTTGGCCCAGAATTCGGGACGCTTGCCGGTCCGACATCAAGGCGAGATCTGATTGGTCAACAATCTGGACCCAACAGCCAATCATAACCCAGGATTGGCCAAATGCCGGTTGCCAATGGCGTCCCAGAGCGCGTCAGAAATTCCAGAAAGTTATAGCCGCTTACGCTATATATACGAAGCGCTGTACAATTGTTCCTGATTTCGTTTATGGGCTTTAATAGATCTTGTGCACCTTTGGTGGTTGTTTTTGACGTGAACGCTAGCTTGGGAGGCTCAGACCGAGAACTAAGCTGAGGAAAATACCGTTGCAACAAATAGACGAGCGATATTGACTAGAAGTGACCGGCCTTGACAATAGCCTCGTCATATACTGCTTTTAGTATCAGGTCAGTGTTACTCAAGAGGGGAATCTTGATACGAACTTCGCATCATTCAGGCACTCTCCTTTTTCTAGAGAGCCAACCAGGGGGCCTAGGAGCAGTAAGAATTACATAGGAAAAACCAATATTCCATTTGGTGCAATTTTGGCTTTGCATTGATTAACTACATGCAACCTGTTTGCGATGACAATTCTCATTTGGATCTTGCTGATACCAACGTTACAGTTAGGCGTCTGATTTTTGTTGTTTTCGTAGTGTGCTGCAATTCTAAGCATTTCCTGGATACAGGGAAATTGCTTTTGAGCCCTCTAAGTTGCTGGGGTGTTGGAAGCGATAAGGCGCTCAATTGGGTAATGTAAGTACAATGATTAGAAAGGAGGCTGATCAGCAAACTCAAAACTTGCCCCTGTAAACGGAAACATGCAACACCGTCCCTTTCACATCTAACATGCTATGACGGCACTTCCTACAGACGACACCATGAAGTTACGTGGAGATAACCAAATGCAATTAACGCTGGTCAGTAGTCATCAATGCATGGAGCTAAACTCACCGGAGAAGCTTGAAGTCTTATAGCATGAGAAGTCAACGGTACATACGGTTGTATACTAGGTCAGTGAGGATACCTACACAGACCAGTCGGATTTCCAATACCTGGATCTTCAGGGAATCAGACCCCTTAATTTGTGGTTGGCACATGTGTAGCAAATAATTTTCTGCAAGCTCAGGGCCTTCTTGGAGGCATTTCTCTTTAGGAGATCCGGTCTTGCTGCGAATTCGCGGGTGGATATTTCCACTTTCATCCAGAAAGCACTACCTCTTCGAAGGCGCCTTCTTTGGAGGCAGCATTGTGCTGTAGAAGCTCAGTCCACCTGATCATACGATGGTTGTTGCGTTCATTCCACAGTGACGGGGAGTACCTCCTTTTCCACCAGCAGAACTTTAGGATCATGACAAAACACTAGGCAGCAACGAAAGTTCAACGAAGATCTTTCGCTTGCTTTTGAATGGTGAACCACAATGACGAGGAAATTGGCAAGACGTTGAACAGGATCTGAAGCTTGCCGGATGAGCACGAATCTCTGTATGGAAGTTTTGACCACATTTGAACATATTTTGTACAAACTCTAAAATTCCCAGATCATGGGGTTAAGTGAACTCTTTGGTAACTTACTTCTGTAAACACTAAACTTATGTGTAGATACTACCTATTATTTATGTTGCATAGGGGACTGATAGTGTGATCCCTTTCAGCTGTTGTGTTGCATGGAGGATATGATTCAACCACGAATACTTAAACGCATTCGGAATAAGATGCAAACATCCTGACTGAACATTATATTTGAATATCTTCGACCATTTACCACCGGACTCGTCTTTCTTTGGGATTTTCAGTTCGTCGAACTCCATGATCTTCCGCCAAATCCATTTTCTACTTCAGCCCAAACTGGACGGAATCGCGAACTACTCACATTTGCACAGTAATTTGGATTGGACAAGAGACCCAAATGAAACCAGCTGAATTTCTCGTTTGTGATATTCCTCAACTAAATTTGCTGTACAAAGGCCACCTCGTGTTTCAGTTGGCACGGTACTTGAGATATCACAATATATTTTCATGAGGGAAGCTACCCACAAGCTTGCTGAAAGCTCTTCGACAGCACATGACGGGCTTTGCCTTCCTTGGGGATCATTAGGTAGGCGAATTCCCATCAACCTTATTTTCTACTTGAATCCAAAATGAACGCATATTGCGACGTGTGCCCCACTTACACCCTGAAAATATTGTGAGCATCGTACCAGCTGAATAACGAAGCGGCCGTGTGCGGCAGATTAAGTTGAAGAACGTCATAAGCGAGAGATTGCGTTGATTCAGCCGAGTCTCTCGTTAGGACCGAAGTCGGCAGTGATGCATTTATGTTCGTGGTCCATAGAGAACCATTTGATAAGGGTCATAGCATCAATGTAATGGGACATCCTAAAGAGAGCAACTGGGTCGCTTACAGATCGGGATCAATGATTGTATCAGTCCATTCTTCGTATCCATATCTTCCTCTATGCTACAACTGAAAACGGAAGGATGCTCCCCAAAGCTGAATCTATTTGGAAAGATAGTTATTCATGTCGACGAATTTCACCCTTACTGCCCGTTGCCCATTTCATTTCACCGTAGGTAGTGCACATAGTGTCACCAAAGGCCTATTTCAAGTGCCGACTTTAGAGCCTGTTTAAATTTACAGGGCATAACACAAAAACAACTACAGGAAAATCAAAAGGTGCATCTGCGGGCATACACGAACAAACTGGTGCGCACATCTCATCCCTTCTAAACAATGTCACAGATTCACGCTATGTAGCATCAACCATTACGCTGTGTGGTAGCTCATGACGCTGACAAGTTGCCCGGTATTCTGGAGAGCCTACGAAATATGTTTCCGTATACAATGCGCAGGATTAAAAAATCTAATCGGTGGCGCCTCTGTCGCTATTCGATGACGGCAAACAACGGGTCGATGTAACACTTTTTAAGCCGAACTCAGAAATGGGACGTCGGCTTACCTCAAAGGATACGCTAATTTAACACTGAGAAATAAAATTTGGGATTTTGTATGCGCGAATGCTCAGGCACCCATATTATTGTTGGATCTAGACCAAATTCTGATACAAATGCATCACAAGGAGGCCTTCTAACAAATTCAGGTGTGCTCATAACTCCACTCATTTGCAACTTCTTTCTATCTTGATCGAAGGTTTACTGACCGACCTATGTTCTGGATCGGGCGAAATAGAACTGATAGTTGAGATGCAGAACGGATAATCTTAGGATAAAAATATGCGCTCCTGATGCGTTTTCCAACGGACAGCGAAGACATACACTTCTACACACTGACCCTTTCAGGTGGGAGTTCGTTGGTTTCGGTTGGTGACAGCGAATCTGTAGAGCTTTAGGGGTGAAATGGTAGAACAGGACTTGTTTTATTATAGAAGTCATGATGGTGTTTTGTCTATAGATTCGAGCACCTCAAATGCACACAAAACGGACTATCTGCCAGACTCATTTTGCTATTTGCCAAGTTTCCTGAGCATTGCTTGTCCAACGAGTAGTCGACATTTTGGGAGTCACACGGAACAATCGTGCATGAAATAGTATCGGAACACCTTGCACTACCTGGAACAGATAGTTATCGAAAGAATATACTCTCTCTTGACAGTGAATCATTTTTCATCAGTGTGCCTACCACCGATTATACCTGTAATTACGTATCGGATTACAACGTACAGCCCAATTGATCAATAGGCGAAATGAGAGCAGTCGTTGGCGTGAACATTTAACTTATATTGATGACAGTGTGAGGAGACTTGGCGACTTTCAGTTGAGATTTCTTCATATCAGTGAAACCAGTCTATGCCGAAAAGCCCAGTAGCACAGTACAGCTGTCCTATCGGCAGTAGGAACCTCACGAAACTCAGAGTTTCGAACCCGCGACCTTAACCGTTCGACCGTGAACGGCTGGACATTAGTGTGCAGTTGGTGAATATTCTGAACTGTCGCGCGACGGATGGTAGGTGCTAATTGATGTGCAGCCGAGATATCCCTTGACAGATCGGACTGCGCATATCGCCTTCTTATTGCTCCTAAATTTCTTTTTAGTTCCTTTGTTTGTGTGGTACAGTTTTCGTACTTAAAATGACGTGTAATTGACCAGCTGTGACAAACCTGTTGAATAACCGGTACCCTTGAAAAACAATTCGAGAGCAGCGAACAAAGCGTGCTTTGTGACTGGTTCAGCACATCATAAATTTACACCACACGAGTCAGGGAAAACTGTTTGCTCTGGGTGCTGTTTTTCTCAGTTGAAACAGGGTCTTTTGTGTTCTTGACAAAACACGCCATTCAAAAGGTAACTGAGAACCTTTCAACCAGTTTTTTTCCGTTCCTGGGGCACATCAGGTAAGCGCAGTCTCTAAGTTTCCCTCTAGTCAGCCATACGTTTTGTTTAAACACCAAATTGTACACAGTTGGAAAAATGGATTCCTTTGCCAATATAGTTGGTGCTAACGAGAGATTCGAATAAATCCCAGCTGAAGCACACGTTTGTAATACTCATCAACTGAATGTGCTGCTGATACGATTATTGGATCGGGTAGTACTCATAAGATTGTTAAAACCCTTCTGTGCGTAGTGGGGTAGCGGTGCGTTGATTTTTAGGACTCCTCTAATCCGGGGAACTTTACCCTTTCTTTGATGGTTCGGCATGTCACCTGCATTGATAACAGGACTATAAAAAATCTTGGAATAATTCAATCAGCTCTATATTTTGAGCTACCAAAGTTCTACCCTATTTCATAAGAACAACCGTTAGAGTGGGGAAAAAACTTCAGGTTACATTGCATGAAGCTAAAATTACACTTAGCTGTGTAAGATTATGGACGAACTAGTATGACCTATTGCTTAAGAAGCAAATTACCCAAAGCCAGTCAGGGTGGTAGTTGCAAAGATGGAGGGAATTTCTTTTAATTCTGCAAAAATATGTATTTACAAAATAAACAAACGGTTGAGAGTTCACAGTCGGGAAAAGATCGTTAATCACGAAAATGGGGGAATCGGGTTCGGGTGGGAGTGGAACTTGCTTGCAAAGAACGTGTACTACGGCGACGTGTTTTAACAAGGTCCGCGATGCTCACATCCATGTCGTCTGAGGAATCTGGGCCGGAAAAGCTGGGTGAGTTAAATTCCGTTGTACGCGAACGGATGGAAGCTGGCGTGCTAGGAGGGTTGCAGGTGGGTGTGTCGCTTGTATAGACCGGGGAATGAGGGAGCTAGAAATGAGCAATTAGTGTAATAAGAATGGCTAGAGCAGTAAACGATACAATCATACAAAGTACTGCCTGAACCAATTTGTAGTAGGTGGACAGGTAAGTGGTGAAGTTAGCAACTCACTGGAGGTTCGGAGACAGTAATGAAGTTTGTAAAGAAAGTATACATCAAATTCTCAGAAAGAAAAAAACCCTTATTATTATGAGGTTCAGAGACATTGTTAACATCTACCTTGGGTTGAGCGGACTAGTCACCCGAAGAAAAACACCGATAATGCTTGTCGTTTAAATGGGCATTATAAGTCAACAACAACGCCAGGTGACTGTTTCCTTAGAGACAACGGGAAACAACCCGAAAAACGACATGATCGCTAAACTGCTAAAACGTAGGAAATCGGGGACGCGACACACTAGTGTAGTCAACAAGCGATATCATTCGGGACTGATTTTTTTGTGTGGGAGATCCAATGAAGTGGCACTCTTTTTCAAGTGATTTCTTTCTAATCACCTGAACGATTCAGTAGCAGCTTTAACAATCCAGTGCAACTGTTCACACCGTGCTAATGAACGACCCATCAGTGGTTTCACTTAGTCGAAATCACACTGACTGTGTCAGGTGAACAACATAAGTGACACTATCTAAGCAACTCACGAGCGCGTCATAAGTTCGAAACGAGGAATATTCCATTCACCGAATACATGCACCATGCTTACAATAACGGTTAAAAGTATTGATACAGTAAAGGTTACCCTTTCATCAAAAGCAGACCGGGTTGAGAAATGCGCATTTACCGGGTTAAAGCACGTGCAAGAGGACACACTGCGCTCACATATCCAACCCACTGGTAGTCTGGTGGCCAGACGTCACCGCTTTTAACACAAGGTTGTATTCAGTTGACAGAGTTCTGGGGATGAAGAAAAGCATCTAAAACACGCAGCACAGGCACCTGGTAAGGCATACACTCCCTGCCCGACAAAGCCGAAGGTTACGCCTAGTTTCTGTGCCCAGCCAAGTGGTATCCTGCATCTAAACAGGCCCTCAGATATGTACGTTCTAGAACCGAACGACGGAATGGCTCACCACTCATTAAGAGACAGAATCAGATCAGCCATTCAGTGTTATTTTTACTCGCTACACTGAGCAGGTCTCCCTTGTACATGCGATATTGATGGAGTGCATCATCGACAGCATGACCTCAGTGTTCAGATCAGCCATTGTTATTTTTACTCGCTACACTGAGCAGGTCTCCCTTGTACATGCGATATTGATGGAGTGCATCATCGACAGCATGACCTACCTCATCAACACCGATGCTTCACTGCCGTACAACCATGACTTATTTGAAAGCCTTATTGTAAAGAAAAGAATAAAGGTGGATGGGGGAGGGACTTAGTGCTGGCTTAACACAATCATTCCGAGGTGCTTACACCTCCAGACATTCACTCAGGCAATCTGGATAGAAACTGACAACAAGAACGCCACTGACATCGGTTGGCAGCCACATCTTGTAGTGTCTCCAACCAGGCACAGTGAGGATCACGCGGTCCCCATCCTGGAAGGCGAGTAGCACCGACAGCACCCAAACGTTTCGTGATCTTCATACACCTCTGCCAGGTCATGGGTTGGCCACCCCTCTGTTTACGCCACTCCGAATTGGGCATGGAAAACAGTACTCTCTTCGGCAAACGATGGTTCGGCAT